CCCATCTCCTATTTCAGTATCCCTCTGACACCTCTTACAACACACGTACGGGACGTAATGGAATAGAAGATATTCTCATACCGCTACTTCGCGGTACATGCACAAACCCATGAAATATTATTATAAATCACTAGGAAAAGAGAGTACTCTTAAGGCGCGTGTTTGAGCAAAATGTCGCGCTAGTCGTTATTTGTGCGGTTTTTAGGAGCTATCTACTTTTTATTTAAATGATATATCAACTAATAAAAAACACATTATATTTCTACATAATCTTGATTCCATAAGAGTCATATTCAATTTTTTTTTAAAGGAATAAATATTAAAATAATCTCCTTACAACGAAAGCACATAAATGTGAAATAATTATTGATAACATGCATCTCCTCGTAAAGTAAGCATTATTTTATTTTGCGATTGACACTAATGGATAGGCAATTTATTAATGAACATTTCTATCATAAATTTCTTTTCAAAAGACCAAAATTTGATTTTATTAAGAAATTATTTTAAAAACTGGGCGTATTCACTGCCCACAGAGTTGCTAGAGTCAGTGAGCGCTAAGCTCTTGAAGGTGAAACCCGTGTCGTTAGTCACAGCGTTGGCCAGCGCACACGCTCACGTCATCTTATCAGTCGATAATATTATTATTTATTAGGTTATTTATAGGTAGTATTATTTATTAAAAATAAATAATAAATAAATTATAAATAAAGGCCAGGTCAAGAGTACCCTAAACCGTAGAGGGAATTATGAAAGTAGACGAAGCAAAACAAGTATGTAAGGATCGTAACAAGTGGAAAGAACTGGTCTCTGCCTACCCCTACGGGAAAGAGGCGTGATTATATGTATGTATGTAGTATTATTTGTTTGTTTTGGGTATAATATTTCGAATTAGTTATACATATATTTGTTGTGTTTTTTACTGCGCGATGAAGCTTTTTGCGTGTATTTTCTTTGAAGTAAATGCAAATATAAAAATTAAGCACCATTAGCATGTAAGGTTTGGTTTGAATAGGGCGTTTAATTTGGTCTATGGTCGTCTAATAAGGCCCGGTCGGGTAAGTCGGCCTATAGGCGACTAATTCGGTCTGGGCGTCTAAGTTGGCCTATCTGCGGCATTGCGGGTTATTACTCGACTCTCTAATCGCTATAGAGAGGAGTTCTCTTGGCAGAGGTCGCTTGTCCGGAGGCCATAATTAACATTCCGACAAATATTATAATTTACACTATAAAAAGCTAATTCAATATTATCAGTATAGTATACAGTTAAAAATAATCCTAATACCTAACCACAATATCTTAGTAGGTATAGTAATTCGGTAAAAAGTACCTGTGGAGGTATTATGATTTGATAAGAGGTACTTATCTAAATAGTTACCTTCTTTTACTAAGTAAGTACTAATAACCCGGGCATCATTTAATTACAACCCAAAAACCCCTATAACTAAACTGACCATTTATTTTTGAACTCAAAACGGGACATGGGTTTATTTATACTCTAAAAACTATAACTTTATACAATTAGTGTTCACTATAAAATTATATTCGATCATCATCATCATCATCATTACAGCCCTTCACAAGTCCACTGCTGAACATAGGCCTCCCCCAAAGAATGCCACAAAGCACGGTCCTGAGCCACCTGCATCCATCGACTTCCTGCATATCTTACCAGGTCGTCACTCCATCTAGTGGGGGGACGCCCTACACTTCGCCTGCCGGTACGAGGCTGCCACTCGAGAACCTTTCTTCCCCATCGGTTGTCGGTTCTTCGAGCTATATTCGATATAGACGGTAATTATTAACTGCAACATATTTTTTTAAAATTATTAATTACATTTGTCAGTGGATTAAATTTGCTTTAATAAAGTTGGTGATGATTTTAAATAAGAATAAAATTCTGGGCAAGTTTTTTTTATTGTTACCTTTGTTAACAACATCGCCTTTAGAACTGGAACCGTGTTTTTTTTCAGACGTCCACAATTTATTCAAAATAGAAAAATACTCTTTCTACTGGAGCATTTGTACCAGGTAGACAAAAGATATTCGATTAAAAAAAATTATGTTGAAATTGTTGGCTTTGAATACTTCCATCCAACGAGTTACGCATAGGAGTTACGGGACAATTTTGTGTCCCAGATCTTTATTTGGGGACCGTTCCCGTTCAAAACGGGACGTATGGTCACTTTACCTATAACCCAGCGACGGCTCCGTGGCGCAGTGGCTTAGCAATAAGTTGTTGCGCTGGTGGGCGCGGGTTCGAATCCCACACGGAACAAGTATTTGTAAGGCCTACAAATAACTGTTCCGGGTCTGGATGTTTGTCCTTGTGCAATTTATGTTTGTAAACTGCCTCCACGACACATTAGAAAATCCTAGTGTGGGGGTGACGTTTTTTTAAAAATTTAAATTGAAAGATAGAAATCTTATACTTCTTGTTGATTTTTGTATTACCTTTATTAAAGTTACCCTTATGTATAAATAAATATAATTACGTATGTAGAAATAAAACTGAATAAAAATAAAAACCAACATGTTTTTTTTATCATCATCAATCATTGGGGTGAGGATAATGTCAGCCAGCATAAGTAATAAGCAGGCTAAGTTACAAGGTGCTTAGTTCAAAAATTAGTAGGTAGGTATGTTACTTTACAATACGTGACACGTAAAAATTAACAATAATCAAAAACACATCTGCGAAACATCCTTTTTATTTATTTATTCTTTATTGCACCAAATATTTGTACAAAAGGCGAGCTATCTATTTACCTATAGTGAGTAGGTATCTTTTAAACTCACAATTATCAATGCTTCGTTTTTAGTATATATTTAATTATAAAATTTCATAATTAGATAATATATGAGAACACATAATTATAATATAATGCAACTAATATACAGAATAAAAAAATTAAAATACATTTATCGTTGTACGCCGTGTATTTCCATAAAATAGTTTATTGATATTGAAAAAATAATACTACGTTTGTAAAGTAGGTGGCGTCTTGCATATTTCTTACGCAATATATTGTAGCGATACGGCGCAGCGGACCGAATGCTCAAGGTCGTTCGCATGGAGTAGCCTCTTAAGTAAAATAAAGTGAGTTCATATACTACGTAAAAGAGGTTCCTTGCTGTCTAATCATGTTTAGCTAGGTGTCATTCTTTTACCTATTTCTGCCGCCAATCAAAAGTGCATACATTGCTGGTCAACATGCGCGCAAAACACAAATACACGCTTTTCAGCTCTGATTGTGTTATTTTTGTCCCCATGTTTATGAAACTACAATCGTATAAATAGGAACGGGTAGCTTCAGAAGAACCTCTGTATTTAGTCGTGGACTTTTTTACACAGAAGCTCAGTACATATGTATACGTCTTTAATATTACACTTTCGCTGACGACGAAACCTTTAAAATCCTAATAATGCTAAAATGGGAAAACGATTCAATAAATGTGAAATTTCTCTTATCAACAACACTAACATACAGTTTTAGGTCACGATGACTTCAGGCACAATCAAGGGTTTTAGTTATACTATTCTTGCATTACTGCCTATAAAAGTTCACTGCTGAACTTATACCATAGATTGCCTCACGAGGGAGATTCTGCCATAGTGCTACGTTTGGCAGGCAGGCAATTTTAAGTTGTTAATGGTAAGATACTGCTCACATTTCCTGCTTAATTTTTTACATTTTTTAAAATTAATTGTTTGAGTTGAATGACAAGCCTGTAATCTCTTTAAAAATAATTTCTTCATTAATATTTCTTAATTTCTTAAACCAGCGTGTTATCTTTTCATTTACGTAAGCGAACCTATACGCTTACGTACTTACTATGAAATTTGAGACGAGTACATCTGTGTAAACCATGCCTTTGCTTTTTTAAATAATATTTTTCATTCTATATTTTATTACTAAGGTAAGGTTGCATATAAAATAAGAAATCATTGTTTTGATTAAGATATTTGTATATCACAATCAAAACAATGACTACTTAATGAATTATATATATTAGGCTCCTCTATATGTTTTAGATCTTTTTATAAATGTAAGGATGACAAACGAGCGCACAATGGTGTACCTGAATAGATGCTTTGACCCTAGATTAGATACTTATATCTATAATACAAAATGGAGATACGTTGTCATGCCTGAGGACTAGAACGGAATGCCTCGTTACCAGTACATACGAAAAACAATAGCTGTTATTTCACGCTGGTATCCTGCGTACATCATGGTCAGGCTGCCGTTATTCTGCCACAGGCCTTCACGTATGTGTTAAAGAATTTTCACTTTGTAAGGCACAGATTTTTGTGTGTGAAAAAAATTATCTTTAAAGATATACATATTTAAAGATTTTTTTTCGTTTATAATTAAACACTTCATAAGTGCACGGATTTTGTAACGCTATCAGACGTACCGTAACGAAAACCGTCGTCCTCGCTCCGTCGACCATAATTCCTATCTTTCTTGTTTCACTGACGTCAAACAGAAGTGTGTAAATACGTATTTTATAAAAAGTAACTGATAACTAGATTGCTAAAGAAAATAACTATTCTTACTTATACACTTAAACTAAATTACTACAGAATTTTTACACATCAACAACAACAAACAAAATAATTGGATTATTAAATAAGTATAAACCAACTTCAAATATTTGAGGTTTTAGTTGGGTTATAGTATATGAAGGAACAACTGCAGAAGTTTGCTCTGTCGATATATACAATAAATTCGTTAAATCGGTAAACTAACCTCGGAGATATCGTTTTACATAATATATAAAATAAGTCGCTTAGAACTACTAGTGGGCGCGAAATTTCTAGAATCAAAGATGAGGTCTATTATAGTTTATTGGCGTTTTTCCCTTTCAATCTGCAACAACAGCGGGGGCACTGCTTATTTAAGGCAGCAATAGTTTAAAGTTACTTTTGCCTACCCAGGCAGATTCCTAGGCTGAAAAGTATCTCTACTAACTAGTGAATTAAAAAAAATTACCTCTTGAGGAAGTCAGTGTACTCGGCTTGACGTATGAGACCAGTCCGCATCATAATCGTCTGGAAGCATTGTCTTTCGATGGCCCAAAGTCGACAGTCGGTCGCGGCCTTGATGGTGGCGGTTCTTTTGCAGTTGTAGAGTATGGCAAGCTCTCCAAACACCTTGCCCGGTGCCATGGTGCTGAGGTATTTGTTTTCCCGCGATACTTCCACTCTGCCCTCTGAGAAACAGAAAAAAAGCATCGTTAAAGAGTTTTTTTTTGGTAGAATAAGGGTGACAGACGAGTACAATATGTGAATGCTGTGGTTTATAGACATCTACATCTATTCTCGATTAAAATCAAAATGCAGATGCGTTGTCACCCCACAAAGATGAAATACCTCGTTTTTAGTAAAAAGGGTCTCCCGTTCTCTACACTCACTATATGAAGCACAGCAGCATTAAGCTGCTATTTCACGCTGGTATCCTATGAGAGCGTGGTCCTTCTCCGATCGAGCCGGCCCATTGGTGCTACTGCCATATATTAACTGCAGCATGGCTTTACTACGGTTTTCCTTCCGAGAGTCCGTTGTTATGTTATAAAAAGTTAAAGAAGGAAGTATAATAATACCATAAGCAACGGTGGGCAGTGATTTTTCAACAATAAATGAATTAGCGTATGTAATCCGTATAAATGTAGTCAATAGCGAGTGTGCTCTAGAAACGAAAGCATAAGAATAGACCTTTGCCCGCCCCTTACATTTGCATAAGTGCCAAAGTTCAATATACTCTTTGTTTTCTGTTGTTACCTCACTTTAGTACACTACTAAAGCGAATAGACCTATTATTATACTGGTATTCTGTGAGAGCGTGGTCCTCCCCCGGTCGAGCCAATCCATTCGTGCTACAACTATAATATAGCTGCAGCTTGGCAGAGCTACAGTGTTATGTGTAGTAAATATGTTTTTATATATCATAACCACGACGACAAATATACAGTTTCTTCAAGAGTCTATGAATTTCCAGAGTCTTTTGATGCATTTGATTGGCCATAATCGCCACGTTTGGGCAGGCGAATTGCCAGATGGCAACCCTAGGTATTTCGCCATAGCCTTTCTGGTCGAGATTCATCTGGATCTCAAACTCCCGAATAAAACTCAAGATTTCCAGACAAACAGCTTCTCTTCACGTCACAGCTATCTTTGATTTAATAAATGCTGAGTTAGTAATTAGACTGAACTTTGAAGTAAATTGTTTGAATTTGAAATCTTATCTGAATACTACTAAGGAATCCAAATTACTGGACTCAGTAAAGTCCAATTCCAAATACATGTGGCAAATGTAGTTAAACTAGTTATGTCAACAATTTTAAGTCTTTTTGTAGTCCATTAATTTAAAATAAACTTTTCATTTAATATTTTTGTTTTTAATATTTATTTCACCCGACAACAACCACAAAATCCCGACATTTTCAATTTTTGCCCTGATATTTATACCCGATACAAAAAATTGTTTAGTGTAAAATAAATCTTACAGATTTTAAAACGATAATAACATGAAAAATAAATAAGATCTTCAATGAAGCCTTTGTATTTATTACTTAAAAGAGCCGTGGTAGCTTATGGACTAAATAGTCAGTGTAAATATTTCACAGTACGCGAGCAACCCGGGTTCGATCCCCGCTGGCACCAATGATTTAACAGAGGAAAAATAACTCTGGTAAATATTACGAATGCCTATTTATTAATTATGAACAATTACAATTACAAACAATGTGACATGTAATTTTTATTTATATATATATATATATATATATATATATATATATATATATATATATATATATATATATATATATCTTTATATATAAAAATTACGTGTCACATTGTTTGTCCGCTATGAACTCCTAAACTACTAAACTGATTGCAATGAAATTATGAACACTGTGTGCAGTTTGGTCCAACTTGAGAGATAGGATAGTTTTTATCCATATAAGTGACCGTCAATATTTTTTATTACGAATTTAAGAATTATTATAGGACACAGGATCGTCGGAGAGGGCAGAACGTCTGCCTGGCCAGCTAATATATATGTATATAGACACGTCAATCTGATGGATGGATTTCACGTGCATTCATTCATTCATTAATATATACCTAATCAATAAATAGGCATTCGTAATATAAAAAACGTAAATAGGCGTAATGTAATACTTAAACTAGCTGTTCCCCGCGACTTCGCTCGCGTGTTAGGGTTTTTATGTTTTTGCGCGGAACTCTAATTCTTTTTCTAGAACAAAAGTAGCCTAAGTTACTCCTTATGAAATCAGCTAACTGCCAGTGAAAGTCCCGTCAAAATCGGTACAGCCGTTTCGGAGATTAGCCGGAACAAACAGACAGACAGACAAAAATTTTAACAATTGTGTTTTTGTTATAAGTACCGTATATACTTTCATATGCAATTATTAAAAAGCTGTAATTTTGACGTTACAAACAGACACTTCAATTTTATTTATTTGTATAGATGAGAATTAATATAAATGATTTAAATATACGTGTACTTATGTTTCACGGGATATTATTTTGTAAATACGTAAAATAAAAAATTCTACATTAATAAACTAAAAAAGTCGCTATAATTAAGCAATTAAAATGATAATGAGTTTGCATTATAATAATTATAGTAAATTTTAATTTATTAATAATGACCGTATATAAAAATATTCATATAAATAAATTAACTTTCAATTACAGCTTGATCGTTGGCATAAACGCCACACCCAAGGTTGTCAAACCCATATAGCCTCCGGGGCATAGGTGACTCAACGTAGCAGCAAACTATTTAATTCTCGTATTTATCAATGCGAACAATATATAATATTATCTATTTTAAATATAAAACACATTTTAAAAGCTAATTATAGTTATTTATTATAATTGTTCTTTCGCTATTTATACCTATATTATATTATACCATAAAAACAGTCCTTTAGACTAACTGATATTCTTCTATGATTTAGCTTTTCCGTCAGTAACTGTGAAATTGCCGTTCCATAATATGGGCTAGTTTAAAATTACATATTATTCATTAGAGTTGGAATTTTAAATTCGAATTAATGTCTTATTAATGCTATGTAATTGCTTTCAAGAATTTTGTTGTTTATTTGTTTTCCCGCGCTTGTTATTAATTCTTTCCGTCGTAATTTGCGACCATAGATTTAGTATAAACCATAGACTTAGAATATATGGCATAGTATATTCTAACTATATATGGTATAAACTGACATTAGAATTTGCGACAGTAGAAAGAATAATATTTGGTGTCATTTATGAAAGCGAGTGACAAACAGTAATTAATAAACAACACCGAATGTAAACCCCGTAGGGCAAATTAGTTTGCTTTGATCCCTTACATTCTGAAAATTTTAACCTCAACGATGGGGCCCCATTACCACCTATACAAAGTAAAAAGGGTCTCCGGTTCTCCACACTCGTAGCGCTGCTATTTTACCCTTCCTCGGTCGAGCCGACCTACTACTTCTATATATTAACTGCAGCACAGCTTGACTACGTTTTTCCTTCCGAGAGTACGTTGGTTATGTCATAAAAAGTTTCAAAAATGAAGTATAATAATACCATAAGGACCGGTGGGCACTCTTAATTCGGCCCATTTTCAATATATCGCCAATTTGATCGATAAACTTTCGCCTAGGGCGTTCCTTCCCGGCTCTGCCGTTTACTTCTGCAGCATAAATTTGCTTTGTAAGTCTTTCGTCATTCATTATTTCTACATTATCAAACCACCAAAGTATTCCTTTCTTAATCTTGATAATGTTGTGCACCTTGTAAACCACACTTTTTTAGTTGATATAGCTGATATAGATATTGATATAGTTGAAGCACGAATGGGTCGGCTCGAACGGGGAAGAACCACGCTCTCACAGAATACCAGCGTAAAATAGCAGCTTAACGCTGCTGTGTTTCGTATGGTTAGTGTAGAGAACCGGAGACCCTTTTTACTGGAAACGAGGCATTTCATCTTAGTACTCACGGGTGACAACGCATCTGCATTTTGATTTGTCGAGGATAGATGTAGATGTCTATGGGTCACAGCAACCACTTATCATCAGGTGGAATGTGTGCTCGTTTATCACTCTTATCTTATAAAAAAAGTAATGCAAAGATATAAAACAATAAATAATATACATTGTAACTACTGTAGGATGTCATGATGAGGCATTTAAAATAAATAAATAAACAACACATACAACAACAATACGGAAAGCAAATACGCGTCTAATGGCCGGCGCATAAATAAAGAACTTTTATATCGGATTATTACTTGCGTTGAAAAGTGGATCCTGTATGATGATCAGAAATGTTTGTAGCAATGTTGTGAGGAGAGACCAAGGTATGTACCCAAAATAAAGAAGCGGTTTGAGACCGTATTGTTAATATGTGTGTGCGTTATTCATTATAGAGTTATGAGATCTGGTACAATAATTACAGCAGAGGACGAGCTCGCTATCGAACAATCGAGTCTCGTCAATTAATCTAGTTCACTAGTAGTAGTACTAATAGTCCACATGCTGCAAACGAACTGTCTTAAAACTACATTGTACATAAACTGTATGTTACGAATGGACTCCGTTATTTAATTTACTCGACAGACCTCGCAGACTTCAATTATTTCTATCGAAAGTAAAAGTAATATTGACGAAATCTAAACGCCGATGGAACAGTGAAAAACCTATTTAAGGAACTCATCGATTCTCACATACTCGTACAAAGCCATAATATGTGCCGTATGGACCCAGATGCATAGGCTTAAGTTGCAGCAAAGCGTGCAGGCAGAACAAGGCAAACAAAATGTACTTAGCTAGGTAGATTTCTTAAATTGAATCGGACGCGAAAGTGCAATCACGTAGTGAATAAAAAAGCGCTTTCAATAAGTATTATGTAATAATGTGCTACGTAATAGCAGCGTAGTAGAACCTATAACTTTATTTTGTATCATAAGTGAAGTAAGAGTCGAGTACAGGGAAGGGAAGGAAGAGATTTGATACCTGGTGGAGCCATGCTGCAGCTATATTATGGTTGTAGTACGAATGGTTCGGCTCGACCGGGGAAGGACCACGCTCTCACAGAATACCAGCGTGAAATAGCAAATTAACGCTGCTGTGTTTCGTATGGTGAGTGTAGAGAACCGGAGATCCTATTTACTGGAAACGAGGCATTTCAT